CCTTGAGCTTTTTCACTCAAGGCTAGTGCTCTACCACTGTCAGACACAGTGCTGCTTCCATTTTCTGGTGGTTAATTGGAGATAAGAGTCTCATGGACTTCCCGTCCAAGCTGGCTTTGAACTCCAATTCTCAGATCTCAGCCTCCTGAATAGCTAGGATTATAGGAGTGAACCACTGGTGCCTCGCTCTGTTTTGGGGCTAGAGTCTCTTGAACTTGTTGCCAGACTGGCCCAGTAGCTGGAATTATAGGCATGAGCCACCATGCCTGGCTTGTGTACATCTTTTTAGTGCCACTGAATAGTGCAATTGACCCTGATCCATGTAGGGTTTGTGGAGTTTTTCCCATCTTTCTTTACTTTTAAATATTTGTTTTATTAGTATCTTTGTATAGGAATGTTCAACTTGTGGTTATTTCTTTAGCAACTTAACATTCAGGTGCCCTTGTGGAGAGATGGACATAACTTTCAAGTGCAGGCATATCTGTGTCTAATTTGACATAGCGAACAGTATCTCTGAGAGACTCCCAGTGCGGGCCAGGGTCCACAGTTCAGTGACCATATCAACAGACTATGAGGACCCTCTTTCTTTTGGAATCAGTTTTGGTAAGTCATTTTTTTTCTAAGAATTTGTCCATTTTGTCTAAAGTTTCATATAATTTCCTTTACATTGTCAGAAATGAACTCTGACCTTGATGCTTCCAATAATTGGGTGGGATATTCTAATAGCACCCATCTTTTTCGTGATCCATGGGGTTCTATCTTTTCTTTCTTTCTTTTTTTTTTAGCGGGGATGGAACTCAGGCCTTGGTGCTGTCCCTGAGCTCTTTTGCTCAAGGTTAGCACTCTCTCTACCACTTTGAACCACAGCACCACTTCTGGTTTTCTGGTGGTTAATTGGCAATGAGAGTCTCCTGGACTTTCTTGCCCAGTCTGCCTTTGAACTGCAATCCTTAGATCTCAGCCTCCTGAGTAGCTAGGACTATAAGTGTGAGCCACCAGCACCTGGCTTCTCTTGTTCATAGAAGTGCCAGAAATGGGTCAGTTTTAGTTTCCCTATTTTGTTTATGTGCTTTATGTTTGTTTTTTGTTTTATTAATTTCTACTCCTAACATAATCTCTTACCTTCTACTCTGATTTTATTCATTTCTGGGTGATTTTGTTTTGTTTGGCTTTTTTTTCTTGCTTGTTTTAACTTTTTGAGATTCAGTTGGTTCCTGTTTTTTCTCTTCTAACATATGCTTTTAAAGCTGTCCATGCTCATCCAAGTTCCTTAGCTAAATCCCCCACAGTATTGATAGTTAATAACTAGTTTTTACCCAATACCAAACACTTCTTGGTTTACCAGTAGGACTTTTCTTTGACAATAACATATTTATGATAAGCATGCTTCAGGGGCTGGGAAGGTGGCTCAGTGGTAGAGCACTTGCCCTGCATGCATGAGGCCCTGGGTTCGATTCCTCAGCACCACATAAGCAGGAAAAAAAAAGCTGGAAGTAGCATTGTGGCTCAAGTGGTAGAGCACTAGCCTTGAGCTGAATAGCTGAGGGACAGCGCTCAGGCCCAGAGTTCAGGCCCCACAACCGGATCCCCCCCAAAAAAGCATGCTTCAGCCGGGTGCCAGTGGCTCACACCTGAGGATCACAGTTCAAAGCCAGCTTGAGTGGGAAAGTCTGTGAGACTCTTATCTCCAATAAACAACTAGAAAACTGGAAGTGGTGCTGTGGCTCAAGTGGCAGAACGCTTGCCTTGAGCTGAAGAGCTGAGGGACAGCGCTCAGGCCCAGAGTTCAGGCCCCACGACCGGACCACCCCCCCCAAAAAAAAAAAAAAGCTCAGTGGTAACATTTGGTGATTTTTCTAAGAATTGTTTTTAGCTTGATTTCTTTGTTGTTAGATAACATTGTTCCGTTGAGTTTTTTTAAGTTTGTAGAGATTGTATGGCCCTGGATGTGGCCCACCTTTGTAAATTCCCATGTGTGTCCAAATGAGATATGTTCTTTTCAGTTTGGACTGTAGCGTTCTGAAGTCTGGAATGAGTTCGTTGTCATGAATAATGCTTTAGCTATGACCCTAGATGGCATTAGTGTGCCGGGTAGCAGGGAGGGGCGAGCACAGATGCCCTTCCAGGAGCCACAGGGGAAACCACGGGGTGAATTTATGGAGGAACCCAGTGACGTTCAGGAAGAGCCGGAGCAGCCCTGGTGGCGGCTCTGATGACCACTCCAGCTGCTGCCCGGTGAATTTACCATCCTGAACCACAGTCTCTGCCAGTGGAGAATGACGTGTGCTGGCCACTACCTTCAGTGGAGGGCTGGAGGGGAGAGTGGTACCTCAGTGTCAGCTCACTTCAGGAGCCAGGGAGCCACGCCGGGCAGGTGCTCAGAGATGCTAGGCTCAGTACTCCTAGGAAAGCTCTGAAGGTGTTGGGGGCAAGGAGAGGCCACTGGGCCCGCCCAGCCTCCATCATAGCTATAGCTACGTGACCTTCCGCTTGGGCCTGTAGCCCAGCTGTTCTGTTTAAACCCCATCGAGCTGCCTCACCTGGGTGGGCAGTGGTCTTAGAGTGTTGGCAAGTGTTTATTTTCCTCAGGGTCCAGGGTCCTGATACAGGCAGAGGGAGTCTCTGGGTGGAAGAGCCCAGGTCCCCCAGCCCCACAACACTGGACCTTAACTCCTGCAGCTTCCTCTCAGGGATGGGAGAGGGGAGAACGTTAAGGCTTCTGTGGTTATTACCTGAAGAGAAGCTTTGAGCACATACCCATAATTCCAGCACCTCGGGAAGTGGAGGTAGGAAGATCATAGTGAAGCCATCTGAAAAACTGCTAAAGCTAAAAGGCTGGAGGTGAGGCCAGGTGGTAGAGCACCTGCCTGACAAGTGCAAAGCCCTGAGTTTACACAGCAGTACCACCGATAAATAACTAAATTCAATAAATTGAAGGAAAGGCAGGCAGGCTTTCTTTCAGGTACAGATGATAGCACCCAGGAGGCTAAGGCAGAAGGTGGCCAGTTTGAAATCGTTGGGCTGTGTAGTGAGACTCTGTCTCAAAGATCACCCCCAAAATCAAAGGGTAAGGAATTAGTTACCTTCCAGTCACATTTGCTGAGAGTTTTAAAAGCAAAATCAAAGCATGAGGGTGATGAACACCTTGTGCCAACCACTCCCTCCTGCGCACAGCACAGCTCCCCCAACCTTAAAGCCACGGCCTCCACCCCCCCTCCCCACTGCCACAGCTGCAGCTCTCAACAGCTGTTTGAAAATGAGGTGTGGTGTGCATTTTTCTACACCCAGTAACAGAGGCAAGGGGTCACTGTACCCCACAGCGGGCGAGGGCTGCAGAAGTGTGCACCGCCTGCCATCCATAGGCCTGGGCTAAGCTGCCCAGGGTGGTCCTTTGCAGGGGCCAACCCTGTGTGTGTGCACCTTGAGTGTGCAAAAGTACAGGATAGCAGGGGACTTGAGGAAGGTGCGTGAGTTTGCAAACGTGGGACAGCAGGGGATCCAAGGAGAGGCCTGTCTTCAGGGGCTGTGCTGGTGTCACCATGGACACGGCTGCTGCTCCGTGGCCATCCCTGTCCTCAGGCTCCCATGTGCCAGGGCCCTGGGCACAGTCACATGCTGCCACCACCTTGAGCAAGAGCCTTTCCTGGGCTGTGGCCAGTGCCCAGCAAGGTGCCTCAGCTCTGACCTACTGGCCACTGGGATCAGGCAGATGAGAGCTGTCCCAGAGACGGTCATTGGAGAGAAGGGGTCCAGCCAGCCTCTAAGCAAGGGGAGCAGCCCCAGGGGACCCTGGCCTGGGGTGGGCTGGGACTCTGGGAGAGGCAGATCTCATCATTTTCTCCTGCAATCTCCAACCCCCCTCGCCAGGATTTGGGGAGCACTTGAGGGTGAGAGCATTCTTTGGGACTGTGTTGTCTTCTTGGAGTGGAGAGTGGGCCGGTCCTGGGGCTCCAGCCCCCCCTGCCGGGCACCTGCTGCCTGTTCTCTGGGCCGGGCCAGGCTCTGCAGCAGGCAGAGCAGCCTCGCAGCCTGGCTCTGCGGCTGGCCAGCCTCCCTCCCGTGCCTGGGCCCCCCCCAAGCTGCAGGTGCGCAGACAGCCTTCTGGAAGGAAGGGCAGATCCAGCGCCAGCCCCGGGTGAGGCACAGCCCAGCTGCTTGCTGGCCTCCCTTCCTCTGGACGGGCTGGAGGAAAAGCTGCCTCGCATAGGCTGTGTGGAGAGGATGGAGCAGAGGCGCAGGAGGCCGGGGCTGCGGCGCCATCCCTCCAGCCTGTCAGCGCTCCCAGCGGCCATGGCTTAGGAAGCGCAGAGCGCTGCTGCTTGTAAGCACGCGTTTGAAATGCCTTTCCTTCCAGGCTCTGTGTGCATTGGTTGGTGTGTGTGTGTGTGTGTGTGTGTGTGCGTGTGCGTGCGTGCGTGCGTGTATGGGAACACAGGTGTATGTGCTTATGTTTGTGTGTCTGTGTTGTGATCTGAATGCATATGTGATGGTCCTGTGTGGTTGTGAGTACATGTGTTTCTGTGTGTGTGTGTGTGTGTGTGTGTGTCTGCTGTGGCCTGAGAGTGTCACTGCAGCTTCAGGAAGGGGACAGCTGGCTGTGACAGTGCAGGCTTGTGGGTACATGCCACCTTGTGAAGTGGCTGACCATTTGGTTCCGGGCGTCCTCCCAGGGGAGCTTAGCTGGCATGCAGGTGGGCTGGGAGGACAGCTCTGAGAGGCAGAGTGACCAGCATGGGCAAGCATTTGGTGGGCTTGATGCCAAGGCATGGCATAGGTAAGGTTTGTGCCATGGACTCCTGGAGGGCAGGCACTGCCCCTGAGCCACAGGACATGGACAGCAGTCCTGATTTTCTCCAGATCTGTCGTAATGGATGGCACCTCGGTGGAATCTGAGTTGAAGCTTGCCTGGTGGCGCTGTGGTGTCCTGGTGGGATTGGGGTCAAGGTGTGCCCCGTGGCACTGAGGCCATAGGACCAGCTACACCCCGTGTGCTGTTGCAGGGATAAATGCCCAGGCCCGGAGGCTGCAACGGATCCGCGCCAAGGGAACCCCAGCTCTGCTTGCAGAAGCAGTGCCAAGCTCCCCTCCACCCGGGCTGCGCCGCACAGTCAGCGAGACCAGCCTGAGCGCCGCCACCAGCCTACCGGACGCTGCCCCAGTCCCTGAGGAGTCTGGGCCCGACGCCATGCGCTTCTCCCTGTACCAGTGCCCTCACCTGCTTCTCCTGCAGGGCTACAGCCAGCAGCATGTAAGTTACTCCTCAGCTACCCCCAGGTGTCCCGGGGTGCCTTGTCCTGCCTCCACTGTTTGCTGGGGGTAGCTCTGGGAGGCTGGCCGCCCATGCCTGGGGGCCCTGGGGTGTGTAGCCTAACCCCTGGAGGGTCCCAGGGACAACAGGCCCAGCTGCAGAGGTGGCCGCTGCCCTTCCCCTCCTTGCCGCTCTGATGGGTTGATGGCGCTGTGTGTTTCAGGACAGCTTGGTGTATGTGCTCAGCCGGGAGCGGCACACTGTGGGCCAGCGCACACCCTCCAGCAAGCCCAGCATCAGCCTGTCGGCCCCTGACATCCTGCCCCTGCATTGCACCATCCGCCGCCATCAACCCGCTGACGGAGGCCAGGCCAGGGCCAGGCTGGTCCTGGAGCCCATTGTGGGTGCCCCCATCTCCATCAACTTTTCGGAGGTGGGGCGGGGCCCCGTGGTGCTGCGCCATGGTGACCTGCTCTCCTTGGGCCTCTACTACTTGCTGCTGTTCAAGGACCCTGAGCAGGCCCAGCCCCTGCCCCCTGGGGCCCTGGCCCGCCTTGGGGCTGTGCCTCAGAGCTGTAGGATGTGCGGGGCAGCACTGAAGGGGCGGGGGGCCCCCTCCGCACAGGCTGGCCTTCCACGGCGACGGCAGCTGGTCCTGGAGTTTGAGCCTGACCTGGAAGACCTGCTGCTACAGAGAATCATGACACTGATCGAGCCGGGGGGTGACGACCACAAACTGACACCCGCCTTCCTCCTCTGCCTCTGTATCCAGCACTCAGCCACCCACTTCACGCCAGGCGCATTCGGACAGCTCCTGCTCAAGATAGCCAGGCAGATCCGAGACACCGTGTGGGTGCGTGCATGGTGCTGGCTGGGGGGTGAGGGCCGGGCTCTGCTTGTCTTGGAAGGAAGGCCTGTCATCTCCCCAATGCACCCCTTTGCTGGTGCCAGGCTGGATACAAGCCACCTTGAGCCTCAACACTGCCCCACCTCCAAGGCCCAGTTTCAGGCACCAGCAGGGCCAGCATAGGGAGTGAGGGGAAGGGAGGGAGGGAGGGAGGCAGGGAGGGAGGAAGGCATCGAGGCATGCATGCATATTGGCTGCAGGGCAGTTTGTCTTCTGACACTGCCCTCCAAGCTGAATGGTGGCCTGTAAGCTGGAGAAAAGCATTGTGGGGCAGGGAACAACATCTGTGGTCTCTCGCCCCAGACCTGGCCCCTCTGCTACCACACGTTCACATATACAACATGCACACACATACACAAATGCATGCATACATGCATATGTACACACAAGCATGCGCACATACACATGCACACACATATGCATACGTGCATGCACACACATAACTCCAGGTCCCATGATGGGCTGGACTTGGAAGTGCTGGCACAGGCTGCCTGCGATATGGGGGTAGTTCCCATGGTCTCAGGTTCTCTACCAGCTCCTGCCCCGTGGTGATAGCTCACAAGGACCCAAAAGATGGCTCTTTATCTCCTCTCCCTTTTTTTTTTTTTTAATTTTAGCAGTACTGGGATTTGAATTTAGGGCTTCCTGCTCATTAAGCAAGTACTCTACTATTTGAGACACACTCCTAGTCAAGAAAGTTTCTTTATTTTTTTTGGGGGGGGGTCCGGTCGTGGGGCCTGAACTCTGGGCCTGGGCGCTGTCCCTCAGCTCTTCAGCTCAAGGCTAGCGCGCTACCACTTGAGCCACAGCGCCACTTCCGGCTTTTTTCTTTTTGCTTATGTGGTGCTGAGGAATCAAACCCAGGGCCTCAGGCATGCAAGGCAAGCGCTCTACCACTGAGCCACCTTCCCAGCCTCAAGAAAGATTTCTTAAGAGTGGCAACATAAATCTGGGCATAGTAGCTCATGTCTGTAATCCCAGCTATTCAGGAGACAGAGAACAGCAGGATCACTGTCATAGCCAGCCCTAGGCAAAAAGTAAGACCCAAGCAAGCTGAGTGTGATGATGCACATTTGTGTCCAGCTCCCCAAGGGGCTGAGGCAGGAGAATCATGAGTTCCAGGATCACCTGAGCCAATGCCAGAGTCACCATTCAAAAACAAAACAAAACAAAGCACCGCTGTTAATGCGCTCTGGGGGAGTGGGCCATTTCTTCTGCAGGAAGCGTGTGGGTGAACAGAAGATGGCTAAGTCAACAGAACGTGTTCTTTCCAGCCAAGCCTAGAATAAACAGAATGGGGTGTCTGGGACCGTGTACCCTGGTTTTTGTGGAGTGGGATCATGTGTGTTTTTATGTATCCTTGTATTACTGTTTCCTCACTTTTTTTCCTTTTAGGAGAAAACCAAAGAACTGGCAGAGAAGCAGGCACAACTGTAAGTATGGACTGGTCATTGTACTTGCCTTGCCCCTGGCATTCAGCTCGCAGAGGCCCCTGCTCTCCCAGGGCTGAGTCCCGTGGGGCCTCCTGGGGCCTGGTGTTGGATCTGGGTTTCACTCACTGCCCTCCCCCAGAGCAGCCTGCCTTTCCTTCCCACTGGGGTATTGTGGCAACTTGCCCAGCGCATCCTACCCCTGAGAGGCCTTGCGTCCTCCCCCAGCCCCCATCCCTGACAGTCCCCTTCCCTTTAGTGCAGCAGCCTCCCTAGGAGGGAGGTGGTAGCATTGCCTTCCCCAGCACCAGCTGCCATGGGAAGCCAGCTCGTACCTGGGCAGAGTTGGAGGCACTCGGCGGTTGCCCCGGTGCACTGTGTAGATGGGCAGTAGAGGCTCTCCCCTGGATCTGCTGCCTTTTTTCCCAGTGTAGTTGGCCTAAACCCATGCCAAAGAAAGCAGTGCGAGACATGGCTCCCTGCACGCCTTAGTGAAGCCACCCACCTGAGAGCCACATACACACCAGAGGGGTCACGTCAGGCAGCACGTGGGGGAACAGGACCTGTGGCACTGGGGGCTTTATGTGCTGGTGACATCTTCCTTAAGTCAGGTCACTGTGCAGAGCCAGCTCCAGTCCTGTTCATGCCTCTTCTGTCAGAGCACATGGGCTGGGTGTGGTGGTGCATGCCCCAGCTATTCAAGAGGTGTAGGGTATTGCAGTTTTGAAATCCAAGGCTGGCCCCAGCAAAAGCGTGAGACTCTCTGCAAATCACACTAAGGCAAAAGGCTGGGGACGTGGCGTCTGACATGACACACCTCCCTAGCATGGGCAAGGGCCTGAGGTCAAACCCCAGTACTGCCCTTGCTCCAAGAAAGCAGAGCACACTGGCCACGTGTGCACCCCAGGGTCCTGAAAACTTCCCAGGTAGGAGCAAAGCACAGAGACAGAGGCCTCGTGTTGGGTTAGCAGGGCTGACCCAGGCCACTGCCTGAACCAGGTCGAGTTGAGAGCTGAGTTCAGGATTCCTCCTGCACAGATGTCTGCTCCAAGCTCCTTTGCATGATGCACCTCACAGGAGCCCAGTTTGGGAGGTCTGGGAGACCTCTGCCCTTTGTCCAGGAGACCATGCCCCTCCCCCCACCCTTTGCCCTGGAGACCACACCCCTCCCCACCCTCCGCAGGGAAACCACGCCTCCCACTTGGCAGAAGGGCAGCCAACGCACAGGTTCTACTGTGGTGGTGGCAGCACTGTGGCCTGTGGGGGTGCAGTGGTGAGGGTCTGGTGGACGAGGCAGGGAACCCCCACCTGCTCTGCTCCCAGGCTGAGGGGCATAGAGATGCAGGAACTCCCCAGCTCCCCTGTGCATACAGAGCCTTTCTCACAGGGCCTGTCTGTTGGGGTAGCCTGGGGCCCCTGGCACCTCCAGGCCGAGGTGAGGTTGGACATGGACCCAGCTTCCTGCTGACAGGAAGAGCCCTTAGCTCTTCCCTTAGCAGCTGCTGCTGCTGGAGGGAAATTTCCAGAACTTTCCATGTTTCAGTGTGAAAACAGTCCTGTTATCACCTCTGATGTGCACTTGTTGCTTTTTTTTTTCTTTCTCTTTTCCTTTTAAAAATAATGAATCCCTTCCAAACTACAGAACAGTCAGCAGTGGCGATGCAGCCACCCCTGGGCTTGGTGACACTCACATCCCGCCCAGTTTGCTTCAGATCGCTGTTGCATTTCTTTCTTAATTGCCCGTGGTCTCAGCTTCACAGAAGGCCTGGTCCACGTCAGTAGCTGTCTCTCCCTGCGCCTGTCGGCGGGGTGTGTTGTTGGGCTTCTTGGAACACACCTGCCTTTTCCTGGCCATGGCCTGGTCCATTGGTGGCTTAATGAACAGCAAGCTACGATTTGTTGTGGTCCCGTCAGGAACCACAGAAACAGTTTAAAAGGAGGCTTTCAGAGGATTCATCTATGGTTCACTGGCGGTGGTGAAGCAGAGCATCATGGGAAGGATGTGGAGGAGCAGGAGCTGGTGACCCTGTGCTCAGGGCTTCTTTCTTCCTCTAGTGTCCAGTCTTGGGGCCTACCATGCCACTCAACTCCTTTGAGTCCACTTGAGTGTCTGTGTTAATCTGGCTTATTGGTCCCTTTTGTTTCAGATTTCCAAATTGCCTTCTTCCTGTGGCCCACACTGGCTTTGACCCTCCATGGTCAGATCTCAGCCCCCTGAGAAGCTAGGATTATAGGTGTGGGCCACCAGCAACCATCTTTGCTCATTCATTTTGTAGTGTTGGTCCACAGACAGCTTTCTTCAGCCCCAGAAAAGACAGGAGACAGCCAGTCCCCCTTGGCTTGTCTGGCCGCCTCCTTCCCACCACCCCTCTCTCCTAGGGGCCTGGGAGGAGCCAGCAGCTGCTCTGTGCCTCCATCTTTGTCCCTCCCCTAGACTCCTGGCAGTGCTGCCAGACTGCTTGGCCTTCAGGGACCTCTTCACCACTTTGGGATCCCCTGTGTTGGGCTCGTGCTGTCCCGGCTGCCTGTTACCCCACAGTCTGGCCCTGCTCTGCTCTGCAGCTGAGAGCCCCTGTGGTCTCCTGTCTCCAGGATTTGTGAGGAGACAAGAGCACCAGCCCTGCTCACAGCTTGGTGTGAATTTTCTCTCCCTCTCTTGGGGTGATCTGACGCTGTGGTGCTTGGCCTCTCCAGGCTGGCAGAGTGGCTCTACCTCTTGTACTGTGCATCAAGTTCCCTGCGCACCTGGGTACAGGCTGGCCACCACAGGCAGCTGCAGGCCAGCCCGCCACTGTGCACACTGGGAGCTGTGTCTGCACTCCCTGCTCAGAGGGAACCTGCCTGATAGTGCCGGCGCTGCCCGCCTGCCCCGTGCACAGGATGGCCAGGCTGTGCGGTGCGGCCTTCACCACTGCATTCCTCGCTCGGGCCTGTGTGTCGTGTTTCCCCTCAGGCCTGGGTGGGATGAGATGGATCTTCGATGCCCTGCTCAGAGGGGCCTCTGTGGCATATGCCCAGGTGGCAAGTGGGGTAAACTTGCTGTTGACGCTGGGTCTGATATGGGAACTCCAGCTGGTGGGGCCTGGTATTTGTTTTCTGGTACAGGCCTGCACATTGCTTTGAGTTGTGGGGGAAATTGAGAAAGGTAATGAATGTTGGGCGCAAGATAGAATTTGGCTTTGAAAACCAAATGAATTGAAGATCCAGGAGTATTACATTTTTGCCAGCCTGGGCAAACATTTAGACCCCATGTCATCAGCAAGCAGGCATTTATCGGGGGGGGGGGGAGTGCATTTATAATTCCAGTCACATTAAAAATGTAAATAGAATCGTGATCCAAGGCCAGCCTCTGGCGAGATCATGAGACCCTATCCATGAAATAAGTGGGTGCCTGTGTGGAGAACCTGTGAGGGGCAGGCTTGGTGTGGTGCAGGGTGAACAAGAAGGGCTTGGCCCGCAGCAGAAGCAGGCAGTGATGGGCTGCAGCTAGTTCCTGCCCTGCCCAGGAGCAGGACAGAGAGAGGTCAGTGTTGTTTGGGGACAAAAGTGAGATTACGTCAGAGGGAACTAGCGGAACCTCAGGCCCCAGGGGAGAGCCAGGGACCGCGGGAGAGAAACAAAACTCCGCCTCTTCTGACCCCCTCAAACCAGCTTCCTGCAGGGTCCCAGGACTTTTCCTGTGGGTGTGGCCTGTTTCCCCAGGACTCCCATCACACTGGGTGGTTGACACTGCCCAGGGCTGGTGGGAGAGATGGCCAGAAGATGGGGTGACTGTTGAGTGACAGGCAGCTGCCATTGGCTTTACCCTCAACTTTACCACTGTTCCCAGAAAAGGCAGGCGCCACCCCCCCCCTCCGCCCAGATGGCAGGCTTCCAAAGCCCCACCCTGGGCCAGGGAGGGTATGAGCTTCCCCAGGGCCTTGCTCAGTGCCAGCTAGTCCTGTTTTAATTAACCAGAGTAACAGCGCCCCCCAGTGGACAGAGCGTGTCTGTGGTGGGACCTTGACTGGCTGGCTCAGCTCTCCTGCCTGCAGATCTCAGACCATGGTTGTCTCTGAGTCTCCTAAGAACTTTGTTTCATTTCTGCCTTTCAAGCTTGGCAATGTCGAACGCACCCTGCTTTCACATGATATTTAGTGCACACTGTGCCTCTTCTCTGGGATTGCCTCATTTAACTTAATCCACTGAGGCTCTAAGCTCTTGTTCTGGAAGCTAGGATCTTCCCTGGCCTATGAGTGGAGGGAGGGTGTGTGTGTGTGTGTGTGTGTGTGTGTGTGTGTGTGTGTGTGTGTGTGCAGTGTCTCGCTTTGCAGCCCTGTGTGGCTTGCTGACAGCAATGTGCTGTGTGAGAACAACTGTGTCCGTGTGGACAGAGCTGGGTCCTGAGTCTCACACCTTCTGGGCTGCTACTCTTATCACTGAGACATGCCTCCAGCCCAGCTTTTTTTGTCAGTTGTGGGGCTTGAACTCTGACTGTCCCTCAGTTCTTCAGCTCAAGGCGAGCACTCTACCACTTGAGCCACAGCCACTTCCAGTTTTCTGGTGGTTTCTTGGAGATAAAAGTCTCACCTACTTTCCTGCCCAGGCTGGCTTTGAACTGTGAGGAGTCTAACCTGCTTTTCTGCCTGGGCTGGCTTTGAACCGTGATTCTCAGATCTCAGCCTCCTGCATAGCTAGGATTACAGGCGTGAGCCACCAGCTCCTGGCTTCCAGCCCAGCTTTTTGCTATTTATTTTTGAGATAGGAGCATGATTAGGCTTCCTGTTGTAATAGATGACAGGTATGTATCATTGCACCCAGCTGTGGGTCGAGAAAGGGCCTCTCAGATGTCTACTGGGGCTGGCCTCAAACCACAAACCTCCCAATGAGTATCTGCCTCCTAAGGAGCTAGGATTGCAGGCATGAGCTACCAGCACCAGGCTCCTGGATGTGTGCGTGCCTCTGTGTGTGTGTGTGTGTGTGTGTGTGTGTGTGTATGCATATATGTGTGTGTGTTTCGAGATTTGAACAGGCAGGCGCTTCTACCACTTGAGTGATGCCCCCAGCCCTAACTCTTAGTCTTTCTGTCTTGGTAGCCAGGAACCCATCTCCTGGGCCAGCTGCACCATGGCTGACCTGGTTCCAGACCTGCAGCACATTCTTTTCTGGATGTCTAACTCAGTGGAGCTCCTGTACTTCATCCAGCAGAAGTGCCCGCTGTACATGCAGAGCATGGAGGATAAACTGGATGTCACAGGTACAGCTGTGCGGAGGCCCCGGTGGGAACCAGGCCCGGCACCCACCAGCGCAGGAATCGCCCTGAGGCTGGCACCGGGAAGCCATGAGCACAGCCTGTGGCTGGGAATAGCTGGGTAGAGGCCCCGCGCGCTGCGTTGGGAGACACTGGGTCACACGTCAGGACCCGCTCCAGCTGTGCACAGCTTCACCCCTTCCCTCCCTTCCCCTTCCCCCGTTGCCCTTCCCGCCTTTCCTTCTTTCTTTGCTCTTCCTACATAGCCCAGGCTGTTCATGTGTTCTTGGTTCTCCATCCTCAGCCTCCTGAGCGCGGCTGAGATTACAGGCTGCACCCGCCATGCCTGGCTGCCTTTCATAGGCAGAGTTGCCATGTGTTGCTGGGGTGCCACTTTCTCAGCCGGCACCTCCAGTCCTGGTGTGGCACTGGCTAGTGGAGCTGAGCCCAGGACCCAGGGTAGGGACAAGTATGGCAGCCACTGCACTCAGGACATCGTGTCCGTGAGAGGGTGGAGGCATGTGGAGGCTTGATGGGTCCCTGCCATCCGTCCAGTGACGCTGCCCACTGGAAGCGCTGCTCGGCCGTTCCCTCCTCCCAGCCCTGCACTTCCTTGGTGATGATCCGGTGCCTGCAGTGCCGTGGCCAGACTAATCCTCCAAGACCTTGGGACACTGCCGTTTGTCTCGCATGGCCTTGGGGGCTGTCTCCCTTGTATGGAGTGTTGGGGTCTGCCTTGCAAGCCCCACCCACTCCTGTCCCCTTTGCCACCCTGTCCTCTGGAAAACCACGTAGCCTGTCATTTGTGTTCCCATGCTAGGTGGCCATGTGGAGGATTGGGGTTTCCTGGTGGTTGAGTGTGACACGCCCAGCCCCCCCCCCCGTGTGTGGGTTCCTCTGCTGTGTCCCGGTAGAGGCCCCTTGTGGGGCTGGGCAGGGTCAGGGGCTGCAGATGATGCGGGGTCTGATGGGAAATGTGTTCAGGCCATGTGACGCGTGGCTGGGCTGGGTGGGAGCTGCTCCCTGCCCCTGCCGCCATTGCTGGGAGGGCTCGGAACCAGCCCAGATGGGGCAGACTGGCATTGCCAGGCCCTCAGTCAGGATCGCTAGGTCCCTTGCTGCTGCCTGAGATCTCTGCCCTCCCCCACAGGCTCCAAGGAGTCACTGTTCTCGTGTGCGCTGACGGCCAGCGAGGAGGCCATGGCGGTGCTGGAGGAAGTGGTGCTCTACGCCTTCCAGCAGAGCGTCTACTACCTGTCCAAGGTGGGCACCAGCAGAGGCCAATCGAGCTGGACCCCTGGGTGCACCCCTTCTCCCACCCTTCCCACAAGGCCCCATGACTGAGCCACAGCCTGGTCGCAGAAGATGCACCGCTGTCCCCTGAGCCACCGCTCCAGCCGAGCTGGCGCTTATCGCCGGTCTAGCCAGTGCCAGTGTGTCAGGGACCCGATAACACACAGGTGTGGGCCTCCCCAGTCAGAGCCCGGGTCACTGCACTGTCTCTGCCTCCAAGTGACCCCCCATGGCCAGCTAGGCTGAGACCTGCCTGGTTTTGGTCCCTAGCAGTCCTGGGAGGCATCACCCATGGGTGGCCGTGTGCCCAGATGGCCCCGGTGGGGCTGGGCCAGGAACTTGAGGTCGAGGCCTAGCTTGACTCCCACAGCCCTCTAAAGTACTTCTTGGGGTTCTCTCTTACCCCCAGTGCCTGTATGTCTGCCTCCCGGCCCTCCTGGAGTGCCCCCCATTCCAGACGGAGCGCCGGGAGAGCTGGCGCCCGACACCTGCGCTCCCCGAAGAGCTGCGCCGCGTCGTGTCTGTGTACCAGGCCGCGCTGGACCTCCTGCGGCAGCTGCAGGTGCACCCCGAGGTGGCCTCCCAGATGCTCGCCTACCTCTTCTTCTTCTCGGGCACGCTGCTCTTCAACCAACTCCTGGACAAGGGTGAGTGCCGGGGACCTGTGGGGATGCTGAGTGCCACTCCCCGGGCAGGCCGGGGCCGGGGGTGGCACATGTGCCCCAGGCAGGTCCCACAGGAGCTTCAGAGAAGGCGAGGGGGTGAGCCATGCCCTTTTCAGAACTGCCCAGTGCCCATGTGAGCCAAAAGCAACCAGGTGAAGCCACAGAGGTGCCCCGCTTCAACTCCAGCTGTCAGGGTGCCCCATCACCTGTGGTGGGCGGGGGGGGGGCTGAGCACAGGTTCCTTCTAGCCAACAGGGCCTCTGGGGCAGAGGGCGGAGCAGGGAGGAGTCGCACCCCATCCCCATCAGACCTGCGCAGTAGCCCGTCACCTTGGAGACTGAGGCAGACTTGCGTCTGTCCTTGGGCAGACAAGCATGCTGTCCTGTGCTGGTGGACGGGACATATACCCTCGTCTCCATCTCCCAGGCCCTTCCCTGAGTTGCTTCCACTGGCCCCGGGGGGTCCAGGCCTCTGCCCGCCTGCAACAGCTTCTGGAATGGACGAGGAGCGAGGGCCTCGGGGCGGCCGGGGAGCGCTTCTTCCGGAAGCTTTCCTGCACCCTCCACCTGCTGGCCACGCCCAGCGCCCAGCTCATCCAGGTTAGGAGGGCACCACATGGTGGGCAGCCAGCAGGCAAGCGGAGGGCTGGGGCCATGCGCATTGCTGTGGGATCTGCACCTGACAGAACCGAGCAGGGCAAGAGGATGCAGTCTGGATCCTCAAACCCGGATCCAAAGTCCTAACTAGGATTATAGGCTTGAACGCCCATGTCCACTGCTAGGTTGCTTCCTATGGTGTGAGGTGGGGATCCCGTTTGCTGCGGATTCCCAGTCGTCCTCTGCCAGAGGCCCGGTGACATGATGCCTGCTGTGGTGCAGGCCCTCAGGGTGCCATCCACTGCCCCATGAGGCAGCTGGGGTGAAGGGCCGCCCTCTGAGCCCCCTGCCGGCCCACCTGGTTCCCTAGTGCTCCCTGTGGGTGCTGGGCTTTGGAGCCAGGGCCTCCGGAAGCCGGCTGTAGTAGACACCAGGATGCCTCTGACCTGAGCTCCCCATGCGCAGATGAGCTGGGTCACCCTCCGGGCTGCCTTTCCAGCCCTGAGCCCTGCACAGCTGCACCGGCTGCTGACTCAGTACCAGCTGGCCTCGGCCATGGGTCCCATGAGTGCCTGGGAGCCAGGAGCGCAAGACAGCCCCGACGCCTTCCAATCAGGTGAGACTGTGGCAGGGCCGGAGTGACAGGGCCGAGGAAGGCCGGGATCTTCATCATCCAGGCCCAGATAGTGTGGGGCAGCCTGGCCTGTGAGCAGCCAGGGGCTCCCAGGCCCAGGGCCAAACCCAGCCCTGAGCCCCAGGCTCAGCCCAAAGGTCCCTCTGCCTCTTGTGGAAGCTCTGGTTGGGGCTCAGCTGGCACAGGCCCAGAGCCTCACGGGGGTCAGTTCCAGTGCTGAGCATGTGTGTGGGCTGCGTGGCTTCACGTGGTGCACATGCATGCATTTTCACGTGTCTTTCTTCACCTCATGTGTAGACACAGAGATTCACTGTGGATGCAGTTGGAGCTTTTGCTCTTTTCCCCGTCAGGCCTGGTGGCCTCAGTGCCCCTGGGACCCTGTGCCCTTAACACGTGGTAGTTGAAACCTGATGCCTGTGGGGGGGGGGCGTCACGTTGTAGTGGGCTGGGCCCACGTGCTTGCGGGTATCTGTGCCCCCAGTGACGGTGGGCCGGTCACAGTGGCCTTGTCCCATGCAGAGGATGTGCTGGAATCCTACGAGCACCCCCCGCCCATCGTCCTGCCCAGCGAGGGCTTCCAGGTGGACTTGGAGTCCGACTGCGTGGACGACGGCATCTACCAGCACCTGCTCTACGTCCGTCACTTCCTGTGGGGCCTGCGGGGCCCGGGCAGCCCTGGTGCCACGCCCACCCACCCGGGGGCCCTTGAGGTATGGAGGCAGGATGAGCCGGGTACAGCCCTCCTTTGGTGATGAGGGCGGCAGCGGGCAGAGGTCTAGAAGCAGCGAGGCTGCTCCTTAGGGCCTGATCTTATCTGTCCATCTGTCCCCCCTAGGGCAGTGCATACCGCACCACTCTCGAGGGGCCGCTGGAGGGCCGGGGCTGCCCTGTGGCATCCAGGGACGCCAGCAGAGGAGCCCTCGAAGCTGCCCCAGGGCGTGTTCCTGCTGCTGGGCCTCTGGGGGTACAGGGCCCCCCAGTAAGGCAGTCTGGCCACAGGGGCTCCCAAGCCGGCCCTCCACAGCCCGACTCTTCGTGCCTGCTCACACCCCCCAGCACCCCACTAGGCCTGGAGCCTGGAGGCCCCAGCTGGCCAGAGCCCGGTGGTCACTCTGGAAAAATAGCTCCTGAAGGACAGAGAAATGGCCCTCGTGGCCCTCCAGCCGCAGTTCTAGAAGGTGAGGTCAGGCCTTGCTCATGTCCAGTCGGCAGGCCTCTGGTGTGGGTCTTACCCATGGCCACTGGGTTTCCAGAACCAACCCCAGGGCTTAGGCCCCAGAGGGTCTTACCCATGGCCACTGGGTTTCCAGAACCAACCCCAGGGCTTAGGCCCCAGAGGGTGTGGCCAGGTGGGAAGGTGCACGAGGCCCCGCCCCTGGGTGGGTATGGTCCATGGGCTGCCACTTCCAAGCACTGGCCAGGAGATATGTAGGAACCAGAGAATTGCCTCTGCACAGGGGGAGGGAGGTGGAGGCACGCCTGGCTGGGAGCATGTGCTCGTGTGCTGCATGTGCCTGAACGTGGCTGAGCCAGGCTGGGCAGGGCACCAGGGCCAAGCAGTCACCCCTGGGAGCCCAGCCTCAGGACTGAGCTTGGAGGAGCCTGCAAGTCCATCATCTGCAGAGGGGCCCAAGGCCAGCCACCTTCTCAGGTGCTGCAGACCCAGGGTCACCTGGGCGGCGTGAGTGCTGGCTTGGAGGAGAGTAGGGCTGAGGACGGGGCTGGGCATGGGTGCTACCCTCCAGAGGATGGACACAGTGGCCATCTGGGTGTGCAGGGAGTCAAGGGAGGAGGAGGCTGTGCTGGGGTGTTTGCACAACACCCTGGCCTTGGGAGACCTGCGCAGGACCAGAAGTGCCCTTCCAGACACCTGGGGAGGGGTGCCCCACTGGTGGACGTGACCCCTTCCTCTGGTATCTCATTCTGCACACGGGTTCCCTGGGCTCCTCAGATCTCCATCCTCTGGGGATGCTGACCCCTGGGCCTCATTCCGTTCCCCTCCTTACCCCACCCAGGAGATGCAGCTGAGGCAGCAGATGAGCCAACCGTGCCCTCCAGCCGCAGTTCCAGCACTGATGACTTTTGCTACGTGTTCATGGTGGAGCTGGAGCGAGGCCCAGTGGGGCTGGGCATGGGCCTGATTGACGGGATGGTGAGGCCGGCTTCCCCAATCCCTCCTGCTCCCAGACAAGCCAGGGTCAGGGCTGGGGAGCCCCAGGGCAGCGGAGGCCTGGGGCAGCTGTCCAGGCTCTGGGCCCTCCCTGTCACCTGCTGGGAAAGGGTGCCAGCCACCCAAGCCCTGAAGCCTCTGCTTCTCTCCAGCACACACCCCTGGGCGCCCCCGGACTCTACATTCAGACTCTGCTTCCGGGAAGCCCCGCGGCATCTGATGGGCGGCTGTCGCTGGGTGACCGCATCCTGGAGGTGAACGGCAGCAGCCTGATGGGGGTTGGCTACATGAGGTAGGATCAGCAATGGGGTCTGCAGGAGGGGCGCTGGGCTCACCAGCCCCCCAGGTCCTCTGTGCATGGGGCCTGCATGGGGCTAGGGGCAGGGGGGGGGATGGGGATCTGCATGGTGGTGGCCTCAGCTCCCCAGCCTCACCTCCTCCTCCATCCTAGAGCTGTGGATCTCATCCGGCATGGTGGCAAGAAGATGCGGTTTCTGGTTGCCAAGTCTGACACAGAAACTGCCAAGAAGATCCGCTTCCGCACACCCCCCACCTAGGGAGCTGCGTACCCGCTCGCGCCCATCCTCAGGCGCTCTACCCGCCTGGCACCTGCCACCACCCGCAGCAAGCCCTGTGGCTGGTCTTTGAGTTGTGTGCGTCCTCGAGGACACACCTGTTGATAGTGTATATCCTAGTGTATATTTTATTTATGACAGATGACACTAAGTTGTGATGTTTCTTACAGAGCTTTATGTTTAAAGACTTTCATGAGAGTTTAGATTGAATAAACTATGTTTGATATTGTAGCAGTGGCTGCGTGACTGTGACCCAGGACCACAGCTAGGATAAAGGGCAGGGCATGTCCCCAGAGAGGGTCTAGAAACCTTTGTCCCTAAGATCAGACCAGCTCAGTACCCTTAGTTCCTCCTGGGCTCTGGCTTCTCCCAGCTGGCCTCCACTCACCACAGCCCAGGTTCAACCCAGTTGAAAGCCCAGGCTTTCAACCCGTACCCTTCTAGCTGGCCACAATCCCTTCACCTCACCAGCCAGTGAAACGCGGTGGCAGGTGATGGCTGACGTGACCACCAATGGGTGGTCAAGCTCTGGGCCAGGTGAGGGGATCCCAGCACAGGCCGCCCAGCCCAGCCCCTATTGCAGTGTCCTGGGGGAACCCCAGTGGTAGGGCCTCGCCGCTCTATGCTGCCCCCTGCTGACCAGGAAGGGGAGGTGCAGCAGCCAGACATGGCCCTGCAAGCTACTAAAAATGCTGGATAGATGAGAAGTGGCTGAGCCAGGTACCAGTGGCTCACACCTGTAACTCTAGTTCTAATCCAGCCCAGGCAGAAAAAAAAAAATCAGTGAAATTCCAGCTACAGTTAGCTAGCAAAAAGCTAATCTGGAGGCATAGCTCAAGTGGTAGAATGCCAGCTGAGAATGAACAAGCGGGGGGGATGCATGGCTGGACCCAGAGGAAGATCCTTAGAGCCAGTGCCCACATCCAGGGAGGGTGCTGCTCCTATGGGTACCCAGTTGCCAAGTCCTCTCCTCCCCTGCTGCTGCCAGTGTCAGTACCAAGCCTCTCAAAGCAACAACACCTCTTCTTGCTCAACTCTGAAGGCATGGCCTGTGGGCCTACTACTGCTTTAAGTGCTTGCTCTAGGGCATCCCAGTCCATGATCCCACCAGTCCCACGGATAGACTAGGAGAGGGGTGCTGAGGCCTGGACAATGGGGTGGGGCCCTGGCCTGCCAAGAGCTGGTGGGCAGCGCCATCTGGTGGCCATATCTGGCTCTAGCCGGGACTTTGGGGCCTGAGGCTTCTGGAACACACAACTCAGGACCTGCTCTATGCCCCAGTGCAGAGTCCACACCAACTACACAGGGCCCTGGGGCCGGTGCTGGGCCCAGGCAGCAGCCTCCACACCCCTTGGGTTACCTGGGAGTGTCTTATCTTGATGGGTGCTGGGACTCAGCCAGAGCCAGTCCTGCACTGGAGGCCAGGCTGGAAGGCCGCAGGTTCCAGGGCTGTGGTTGGGCTCCTGGGACCCGGCCATCTCCCGAGATGCAGAAGGGGAGACCTATGATGTGCTTGGATTTTAAAGGTTTATTTTAGTATGTGTCTAAAACAAGAGACAGGAAGAGGAAACGAGTCACACAGCTTGAGTCCAGCCCAAAGAAAACCCAAAGGTGGCCAAGCCACTCCAAGGCCCAGCTCGGCCCAGCCGTGCAGGCAGGAGTGGAGAAAAGGCTCTGGAGGCTTCCTGCCTCTCCCAGCAGCCTCTGCTCCCCTCACATAACTGACCACTTCGGCCCAGATTTGGCCCTAAGACCTGGTTGGAGACCAGGCTCTTAATCAGCAGCCTGTATCCCTGGCACCATGCCTTCACCCAGGCTGGCCGGCCTCCTTCTCCACCAGCCGGCTGACAGTACGTAGGGCCAGGGGCAGGGCCGTGTTGGTGTCACGGTGGTAGCGGGGGTGGCACACGTCTGCACTTGGCGTGAACACAAATTGGGCCACACTGGGCATCTTCAGCAGGGTCAGGAGCTCGGTGGCCCGTGTGCGGATGGCCTCTGTGCCCTCCTCCTGGTGCGCAAAGCCGGGGACTGGGTTCTGGGTCAGCGTCCTCATCTTGGACAAGAACAAAGACACCCTAGGGGCCGGGGTAGGGGGTGTGTGTGTCTCAATTAATTAGCTGGAACCCCTAGTGGAGGCCCAGCCTCCCTCCCCTCCCCCCCACTCCCCCCTCGCCACAAGGCAGCCAGCTCAGAGTACTCGGCCAGCATGGTACTTGGCAGGGCGTCCCATGGCATCCCTACGTGGGTACCTGGGGATCAGGTCTTGGCTCCGGGAAGCCAGCTTGGTCAGTGTGGTCATGAGCCCAGTGATGACCTGCGGGGGACACCTGGGCAGGTCAGCTGAGGGGCGGGACTGGGTGACCTCGAACAGCAGGGCCTCCAGGGCTTCAAAGAACTTGTTGATCTGCTCCACTGTGCACCGCCGGTCGCAGGCCACTGACAGGTACTCGCCCACGGCCCACACCTAGGCTCCGGATGGAGGAGGCTGAGCCCAGGCCAGGCCTCCAGGGGAGGAGGCAGGTGAGCCCACCGCGCCCTGGCTTACCACGCAGGTGAGCACGCTCCCATGGCTGCGGATGCTGCTCACGCTTCCCCCGACACCCAGCAGCTCCCTGGCCAGCTCCACCACCAGCGCCGGCTTCTGCTGGCACAGCACCAGGAGCTGGCCGCTCAGCACCCTGCTGGGAGAGCGGGCGCTGCGGGCCGGCCTGTTGTGCACAGAGCCCAGGCCCACAACTGGAGAGGATCGGGGAGCCCCTCCATGCAGCTGCTCCCCCACTCTTGGATCGGCAGCTGAGGATCGTCCTGTCCCCAGAACCTCACACCAGGGCACGTCGACCCTGGCTCATGTACCTTGAGGCCTTAGAACGCACCCAGAAGGCATGGGGTCCTGGAAAGGGGACTTGAACCAGCCCTGAAGGTGGAGTTAGTGCAGAAAGAGGAGAACGTTCTGGAAGGGGGAGGGGTTCAGGCTGGCCTGGGGTAGACCGGCAGGTGAGGCGCACCTGTGCACGCGGGCCTCGAACCCCGCCACCTGATAGAGCGAGTCGCTTCTTTCCAGGATCAGCAGCGCTAGCTGGTTGGTCAGGGCGCCATCGGCGAACTGGGGGTGAGGAGAGAGAGGGGCTCCATCCACCTCACCATCCTCCACGCTTAGGGAGGGGGTGGCCAGGCCCAGGGAGGTCTTGTCCCCTGCCTTGGGCCAGGGCAGGACACGTGGAAGGGCTGTCTGAGCCCCCACTCCGTTTGCGCCCCCTGTGGACGCAGCACCGCAAGGCCATGGCAAAGGAGTTTTCCCAGACTGCCCTGCGCCCGTGCCCAGCAGCCAGACATCAGGTAGGGGCCAGCAGGTAGCACCCCTGCCTGCAGAAATGGGGGTGAGGGGGGTTCTTGAGACTGGCGGTGGGCTCACCTGGGTCACGGCGGCGAAGAACGCGTGGAGCAGGGTGGGCACCGCCTGGGCGCACTGGACCACGCGGGCACAGCTGCTCATGGGCTGCAGCAGCTGGTGGAGTGGTGTCAGCCTGGGACATGGCCGGGCCACTGAGTGCCTGCCCACAGGCCCATGCGGGCAGCAGGACAGCAGCTCCTGAGTGCCATCCCACCACATTTACGCCAAGCCCAATTCCTGCCACTGTCCTGGGCTTGGGGAGACCACTGCGACCTAGTTAGTTGGGCCTGGGATCCCCTCTCCCGCCCTCCCTTCCCCTCTGGAGGTGCTAGTCCTCAGTCTCGGGAAAGCAGAGCTGCACTGGTGGCAAGGGCTGGGGGCCGAGGGGCCGGTGAGCAGCCAGGTCCTGTGCCCAGCTCTGAGCCTAGGACAGCAGGGTCAGCACAGGGCCACCAGCCTGCCCTGCCCCGCCCCGCCCCGCCCCACCGCACCCGAGCATCTGACCTCTCCACAGAGCCGCTGGCCTTGGTGCGTAGCAGGTGCTGAAAGAGTCCTTGGAACTGGGGGCTCCTGAAGGCTTCTAGGCAGCTGGGGGTCCTGAGGGAGGTGTCCCACAGTGGCCTGTCCGATGGGGTGGCTGAGTTCCTGGGTGGATGGAGGCCCAAGGACTCATTGGGATGTGGCTCCTGGCCCAGACCAACTGTGGTCAAAGTAACCCTTGACCCAGCTGGGCGCCAGTGGCTCACGCCCATCATCCTAACTACTCAGGAAGCTGAGATCTGAGGATCACAGTTCAAAGCCAGCCCAGGCAGGAAAATCTATGAGACTCTTATCTCCAATAAACCACCAGAAAACTGGAAGTGGTGGTGTCATGGCTCAAGTGGTAGAGCGCTCGCCTTGAGCTGAAGAGCTGAGGGACAGCGCCCAGGCCCAGAGTTCAAGCCTCAGGACCACCAACAACAAAAAGTAACCCCAGACTCCACAGCAATGCCACGGTGCTTCATGGCCTCTCCAGGTTCTCCTCCCCAGGTGCAGAGGAGCGGGGAGGGGGGTGTCCTGGTCACCTGAGCTGCAGGTCCAGCGCGGCGGTAAGGCAGGGCAGGTCCAACAGGGCGTGCAGCATCTCCACAGCCAGGCTGGCGTCCACCAGGCCCGGGAGCAGCACCACGAACTCCGATGTGAGGGGTGCGCTGTGCCACGCCAGGAGCTGCGGGACACACAGAGGCTCTGGCCGCAGCCACGAGGCCAGCCACCCCCAGGCAGGGGCATGGAATCTGCCCCCCCCTCCACCAGTCCTGCAAGGCAGGGGTGACACACCCGCTCCTGTTCTGCTTCTGCTTGCTCGCTCTTTTCATTTTTGTTTAACTTGAACTCAGGGCTTCATTGCTTGGTAGGCGGGCCTCAACCACTCAAGCCACAGGCTCATTGTTTTTGACCCTGGACTGCCTCACACCGTGATCCTTCTACCTGTCCCGCCTGAGCAGCTGAGGTACTGAGCATGGTGCCAGCTAATTGGATGAGAGGAAGGGGTCTCTTTGGCCTAGACTTTTTTTTTTTTTT